CGTTTCATGCGAGTTGCTATGTAACGAAATCATGCAGCGGATGTCCCCCCTCCACTCGGCCACGTAGTCGAGTCCGTAGTGGGGATCGTTTGAGCCGTGAGCGCGCTTCAATGCAACGTTCGTTACAGGCAACTCCGGCATGTATAGTGTAAAATTTAAATTCATAGTGTACAAATAATACCATTAAATCAGTTCCTTAACCCCTATCCTGGTATGTTTGTGTGTTTGAAGAAGTTTCACTTCAGTAGCGTGTTGTATAATTACACGTTGTATTTTTTATATTTAATGCTTCAAGCAATTAATATAGCTTATCAAAGATAAAAGACATAACTGGGTAATTTTATATCCGAAAAGGGTATCTAAAGTACAATTTTCTAACCAAAGTATCACAGTTAATTATGAATAAAAAGTCGATTAAAAGAAAATTAAAATTTCGAGGCGCTAACTTCGTCTTATACTTTGCATCATTACAATAAAGTCTTGCTCCCGGTCTTAGCTAACGCTTGACCTCTGTGGTGACTTTCTGAAGGTCCAGCAGTTTGAATAATATTTCATTTCACGATATGTTAGCATATCACTGTCTTATTTATAACTGTCAGTCTACATTTGTACAATATGTGCAGATAATAAATTTTCTTTGTCCTGTCTACGATCGACGTTATTTTTCTCAAAGGGAAAGATTTATCGGGATGTCTACGGCTAACACTGAGGATTTTGTTTCGTTTTCTGCCTGAGGGATGACGCCGTGGAACGCTGACAGGGCTAACTCAGTGCAAATCTCTCTTGCTCATAGAAATCCCTCAACGAGAGCGTTCCCGAAACATAAAAAGTCAATTCTTTATCATGTAGATATACCGAAAGTCTGAATGTTATTAATGGTGAAACCCTTGAAACTTTTCAATAAGATGACTGAAAGGAAGAGTCACAACAAATAATACGGACGAGAATAAAGACTCAGATGGAAATCTGGGAAACTCGTACTTCATATATGCAATATTTGAGAATATATGCGGTGTCCCACTTCAAGTAAATTTCTCCAAAAGTGTTCTAAAAAGTGGAAAATGTTAGAGTTACTTTGACCGTCTTTATATCAGACTGTAGTAAGGTTTTTGTCAACTGTGCCAACTTGAATTTAACATTACTTATCTTTGTTTGTATTTCTCTACGACGAAAGTAACCCTTAAAGATCACTGCCTCTGTCTAAGACTGGTTGGACACGCACTTCCACTCTTTCCTATACTGGCCTAATCTTCGCATTTGTCTAAAACTAGAACTTCTCATATCCTTAACTATTTGTGAACAGTAATTTAATCTAAAGAGCAACAGGCAGTTATCAAGCTAGGGATGCAACGTAGAGAAGTAAATAGTAGGAAGGGACTGAGACAGGGATGCACACTGTCACCGCTTGTTTTTAATCTATACATCGAAGATGCCATCAACATCATTAAAGACAGTACAATTGTAGAGATAGATGTGCAAGGGCAAAAGATTAGTATGCTTAGATTTGCAGATGATATAGCAGTATTAGCATCTAGCAAGGAGGACCTAGAGATAACTCCAAATAAAATGGAAGCGGTACTGACAGATCAGTACTTTATGAAAATAAATAAAAGTAAAACTAAAATACTGGTATGCAAGGGAAGAAAAAGTAGGGAAAGAGCGAATATAAAGATAGGGAACGAAAAATTAGAAGAAGTGGCTGATTTTAGATACCTAGATATAAAGCAGAGGATAGCGCAGGGTCGTGTCGCCTTTAATAAAAAGAAGTCACTTCTATGCTCGCGAACGGTTAATTTAGAAATTAGAAAAAGGTGTATGTTTGGAGCACGGCGTTGTACGGGTGCGAAACATGGACAGTGGGAGCGGCGGAAAAGAAAAGGTTAGAAGCGTTCGAAATGTGGTGTTATAGGCGGATGATGAGGATAACGTGGGTAGAAAAGGTTAGAAATGAAGAGATATTGGAAAGAATAGGAGAACAGAAGACTCTATGGAAGTCAATAAAAAATAGGCGAGATAGGTTGGTAGGACACCTTCTCAGGCATGAAAGTCTAGTCAGAGACATATTAGAGGCAGAAATAGAAGTTAGGAGAGGTAGAGAGGTAGACCTAGATTAGATTACTGTTGGCAAAAAGTTAAGTATGTGGGCTGTTCTAGTTTTAGGGAAATGCGAAGTTTAGCTCAGGATAGGAAAGAGTGGAGGTACGTGTCACACCAGTCTTAGGACTGACGACCTTACGATGATGATGAATTTAGTCTAGATCTACCTCTACTCCTTTTAACTCCTGTTTCTGCCTCTAGTATGTCTCTGACTAGATCTTCATGCCTGAGAAGGTGTCCTACTAACCTATCACGCCTATTTCTTATTGACTTCCATAGAGTCCTTTGCTCACCTATTATTTCTAATACCTCTTCGTTTCTAACCTCTATCCACAGTGGCCTCATTATTCGCCTATCACATTTCCAACGCTTCTAACCTTTTCTTTTCCACCGGACCTTCCGACCATGTTTCGCATCCGTACAACGTCACGCTCCAAACATACACCTTTAACAATCTTTTTAGAATTTTCAAATTAACGTTCGCGAGCATGGAAGTGGAAGTGAAAGGTACTGTAACAGCTAGGCTATTTATCAATTTTAAAGGATTTTTTACTTTTAGTATAAATTATTACGGGCCATTGAACTGTAAGTACTTTTCTTTCTCTAATTTACAGCAGATCTGCAATGTACAATTAATAACAATTAGTTCCAAACGAAAGGGCCGATGTAACGGTAAGAAAAGGCGTATTGTTCGTTTAACGTCAACTTTATTTTACTCCCGAAAACAGAAAGAAAATAGGAGAAAAATAAGGAGATTAATGTTGTCTTATTTCACCGCATACGCGACTCGACTTGTAAAAGTAAAATTTTAAATTAAACGGGCTTGTAATTCATTTTGTTTTGCACGCACCAAGCATTATACACTAGTGGCGAGTTGATAACCGAATATGGAGAAAATTCTATTAAAAGTAACCTTCAAAGGGTGACATCAACAAATAATATTGACGAGAATAAAGACTCAGATAAAAATCTGGAAAACTCATGTATGCAATATTTGAGAATATAAAAGAGTTACAACGAGAAGCAAGTTTTACAGTTATTTTGACCGTCTTTATATGAGACTGTACCATTGTACTATGTTTTTTGTCAACTGTGTCAACTTGAATGAAACACCACTTATTTTTGTTTGTATTTTTAGAATTTCATATTCTTTTTTAAAAAGAAAGTAGCCTTTAAAGATTACTCATCTGTCTGCCTCTGTTCGTATTATCATCTTTATAAGGTCGTCAGTCCTAAGACTGGTTGGACACGCATCTCCTCTCTTTGTTATCGTGAGCTAATCTCCGCATTTCACTAAAACTAGAACAACCCACATTCTTAACTATTTGCGAACAGTAATTTAATCCAGGTCTACCTCTACCCCTCCTAACTCCCGTTTCCTAGACCTTCGTACCTGAGAAGGTGTCCTACTAACCTATCTCGCCTATTTCTTTTTGACTCTGTTCTCATATTCTTTCTAATACCTCTTTATTTCAAACTTTCTCTATCCATGGTATCCTCATCATTCGTCTGTAACACCACATTTCGAACGCTTCTAACCTTTTCTTTTCCGCCGCGCCCATTGTCCATGTTTCGCACCCGTAATATGCCGCGCTCCAAACTACCCCTTTAACAATCTTTTTCGAATAACCATTCGCAAGCATAGAAGTGACTTCTTTCTATCATCTGCTTTATATCCCTACTACTCCTTCTGTCCTGACTTATGTGTCTTCCCAAATACCGAAAATCAGCGACTTCTCCTATCTTTATATTCGCTCTTTCCCTACTTTTCCTTCCCTTGTATACCAGTATTTTTGTTTTTTACTTTTATTTTGATAAAGAGTATACTTCAAAGGGTGGCATAAACCGATACCGAACAGACTAATAAACGCTTTGAGCGACAAAGAAATGAATAAAAAAAATGTGTAATTTCTATATTCGGTGAACATTCTCCCTTACCTGTACATCGTTTCATGTGTTTGGGAGAGATACGTAGATGTCGGATTAGGGGTGGAATTTAATAACAGCCTGCGATAAAAGTTTAGAAAAAGGCTTAAGCAAGACGTAGAAATAGAGTTAGCTACGTCGTTTTCGTAAAAACCCAAAAGCAGTTTAGCATTTAGGTGAGTACGTATTAAAGTTTTGTGTTTTTCCTGATGAAAAACATGAAGTTTATTTAATGTAGGCATTACGTACGAAAGTTGTTTAAATTGAGACCACCATTTGAAGCGTTTACATCTACACAAAGTTTTATTATCTGTTTTTGCTGTTCTGTGCTAAAACGTTGAAGAGAAATCCAAAACATTTTATAATTCGTCAACGTTTGTTCAAAAGGTTTTGAGAGTTTACTTAATTTAGGACAGAGTTTTCAGAAAAGCAGAAGGTATTTTCAGACAGACGTGGTTGAAAAAACATATTCCACACACTCATCAATTTATGGGTTTTCGCTCGTGCAGCATAAAAAAGAGATATGCTAGGACTGAAATGTGTAATTGTTCGACGAATTTTGTGTCTTACCTGCAAAAACATTCATTTGCAGTTTTTTCGGTTTAGTTGGTGATTTATCAAGACTTTCTATGACGTGCCGATGAGGTCGAAGTTGCTATCCACGTCTGATAGTTTCTATAAACTACTGACCAAGTACTTAATCAGTTACTGTTAGTTTATTAAGTTTTCCCGTAAGGTTTCCTACTTTTTACTATTCAAATTTTAGTTTGATATATTTGTACTTAACTAAACGTTTCCACATTATAATATACTTAAATGTATTAATTTTCTTTAACCGTAAGGGATTTCTAAAAAGGAATATATTTTCGTTTCGTTGGTTAACTTCACTGTGACATGAATTGTATAAAGATACAATTTGATATGATAACATTTTTGTAGGTATTTCATTTTTTAATTTTCTCTTTTTTCCTTTACAGAAAGCGAGTCTGGTTCTGGCTCGGGTCAGACAGAGATCAACCCCAACATCCCTTATCCAGGGATCGCCCCCATAGCCCTGGGATACTTGTCGCAAACAACAAGACCCCGGAGTTGGTGTCTGGCACTCATCTCTAATCCATATCCTTTTCATACAACAATGTTATTACATATTCACTTATATGTGTACAAATGCTACACGTAGTATACAATTATTTTACAAGTACATACGTACACACACGCACACAGGTATCTTCTGACATATGTACATATTATTTTTTTCGTCTTAAGTAGACCATTGCACTGTCGCAGAGTATAATACGTATGTACGTCGAGTGCGAAGGTAGGTAGAAATGCTTAATTGTTTTGGGTACTTAGATTATGAGGAACAGTGGAGGATGTAATTAATTTTGTGTGTTGTTGTAGTACAAGACGACTAACAAAGGTAATTTTGAAAAAAAAAAAAATAAGTAACAACTAAAACACTTAAACTGTTGGCGTGTTGTAGGGAAAAAACTTAAATTATTATTATACTTCGTTTAGTTTCTGTAGCGATGTGACCTTCAGTTTGACCGGCGCAAAGTAGAAAAGAACAGCACTAGGCCAGAAAAGGAAGGAGACAACTCTCGGCCAAACTCTTAACCGGTGAGGAGCGTATAATCCGTACAGTACTGCACGGAAAAATTGACCATTTTATCCACTACAATTTCATTGCTCAAATGTGCTGTTATTGGTACCATTTACTACTGAAAATATCAACGAGATGTTTATTTATATTTGAAGACATATTAAAGGCTTTAACGTTTGTTATCGACACGCACTACTATTCATGATTGAACAAAACTTTTGGCAAGTACTGTATGAAAAAGTATGTTTAATGAACAAGAGTCGAGAGTATAATGAGCTTTTTCTCCCTACCTACGATTTTGCCAGCGCGCATCCAAGACAAGAGGCACATCGCTAGAGAAAGTAAATGAAGTATAATTCTGGTTGGTATCTGCTATCTAAACTATCTAAAGAGCATCGAATTATTTTATAAATTGTATTCTCATTTAAATAATGGATCAAAAGTTATAAAATATTGTAATACGTTGACTGCATGAATAAAATATTGAACTACTTAATACGATATATGTATTAAAATATTAAAATTTATCACACGTGGAACTATAAAGTGTACAAAAGAGGTTCTGAAAAATTGTACATTTCATCGGTATTTTAGTGTTCATGTAAAATTTGCATATTACTGACTCAATTATTAAATATGGTTATTTGCTCGATTTTATGTGTATTTCATGTTTAATATTATTAAATTGTGATTTACAAAACGGGAATCTAAAAATACACTAAAAAATATACCACAAATAAAAGCTGTGTTGTTCCTGTAGGTGCTCACCGTATGTAGAATTTTGGCTGAACAAATGAATACATAAAACATTTTACCCATTGATTTGCTTCTATTATTACACTTGAATTTCACGTAGTGCGTGAAATGTAATAATAACATAATACCGAAACCGCACTGATGGATTTAAAAATGAACACAAATGCTATTCTAATAACCTGTTAGCAGAATATATTTTGATTTTGATAATGAGTATCAGCTCAAATAAGTAAAGTTAAATTAAGTTACATGTATTTTGTTAAGTGTAATTTAAAATATTGTTTTTGTGCATTAAATTTTGTGTAGTTTTGTGGATTATCTTTTAGTTAATATCGAGTTAATCGAGCTTCAATTGGATGATAATCTAAATGCGCCGCGCATGTTGCACTGTATATAATAGTCATGTTTAGCGTCGAACTGTTTATTAAATGACTTATTTTTTCAAAAATCAGCCATATGGAATTAAATTCTTGACAAAAAAAAACGCGCCTTGTGAATTTAGTCAAAATCCTTAAAGCCGATTTTGAAAAATCCATGACTTACATATACAGTAAAATCCGCTTATAATGACATCAAGGGAAATGACAAACACGTCATACTAAGCGGGCGTCATACAAAGCATATAGTCTTAGAAAGTAAGCAACTTTCTATTTTTAGTTTAGTTAGTTATTTAGTTTAATAGAGAGAAAAACTGCAAATTGTATATATTTATTAACAGAAAAAGAAAAAGATCGATGAATTGTACTATCAATATATATAATGTTATTATAAGTCATTTGGATCACTTTAGCCGGATATAATTTCTTGAGAATCAGTCATAATAAACGATATGTCATTTAAAACGGATTCATTATATCCAAACTTTCCTATGGTGAATTTAATATGAAAACCAAACTTAACACTCAATTAATTCATGTTAAGAGTTTGGTCAATATAGGCGGAGTCATAATAAACGAATTCCACTATATACACAAGAATTACTTGCATTATATTAAAAGATTAAAAAATGTGTTTTCGCTATCCTTAATTTTTTTAAACAATGTATATTTATCCTATTTAAGGAGCAAAACCCGGAAATGTTAGTAGTTGGAAGAAGTAGATAAGTCATACATGTATATGTATGCATTTGATAGCTGTTAAATTTTTGGAAAGTGAAAAAAGCGGGACAACCAATTCTTAAAACGTCGAATTTTATATTTAGTGCCTCGTAAAAACAAGGATTAGTGATTTGTTTGCAGAGTCTTGTTTGATGTGATATCAATTTTCATTGTTAACACAATTTATTTTCGAATACTTCCTGCAGGTCGCAGTTTATCCTGGCGGTGTCTGTTATAAACCGATATTTTTTGTGCATTGTCATAATGGTATATACGTTAGTTTTGGCAAAAATATCGAAGTATTCGTAGTTATCGATAATTATGTAATCGATGGCAATAATCGCAACTAATAATTATCAATGCATCGATAACAATAAACAAAAACTGGTAATTTTCGATATAAAGGAACATGCTGGCTGACATTCTGGGAAACCCCTAAAAATTGTCACATGTTCTATTAGTCACAGCAAATTGAAGATTAGTTTTGTTCATATTGTACCCACAAGGTACCAACACGTATTAATAAACAAATTTTTCTATCAAAAGCGTAAGAAAGTTTTTGCACGATAAACTTTGTAGAATCAATTCTTTGAGAAGTCCAACTTGGCGGTACTACAACAATGAAAACAAACCATTTTTTTCAGTTTACAAGAAGAAAAGGAATAGAAAAATTAAATGAATTTCCAGTTTAACATTTAAAATATTAACCACTATTGAGTTTCTTAAAGTGTCATATGAAGGAATCACTTCAAATTTACCTTAAATTTTAAAATCGGTTGTTGCCTAGAACTAAGCACATATGGTTAGATGCAATAGTGGAGTTAGTCAAAACAGAAAAATTATAATTGCCCTTGTCTCTGCTGTTTAACAAAATCTCCTTTTTGGCCAGTGTATTAGTGTGATAGGTACTTGAAAAAATGAAGGAAAATATATTAGATTTGTTAATGCTGTTGCCGATTGTTTTTATATTTTGTAGGAAACCAAAACTGAGTTAGAATAAATTGCTTTGTTTTTCGAACAAAATGGAATTTTATTTGAACGAGTTGGCTGGCTTTTGGAATTAAAAACGATTTAAATCTTGACCTATTTATTTAAAAACAAGCGAAACAAAAGCTGCTTAATTTAAACGAAAAACCTAATTACAGAACAAATATTTGTTCAACGCCTGACCTATAAATGGTCAACCTCTTTATAAAATAAATTTCTATTAGGACGTACTAGTTGCCCCTCTTTATGGTTACAATAGATACCTGACCTTACAATCTGTTAGTTAAAACAGATCGGCGACAGTCAATGTTTTTACAATTATATGCAGCAGCTGTCAAATTTGTTAGGTTAGAAAAATGCGTATATTTCCCCTGTTGCAGGTCTAGCATGTGGGCTGCCTATGCAATATGAGATACCATTGTACAATAGCATTTGTTTTGAACAAAAATGATTAATGTCTAAATGTCTTATAGGTAGTAGGGTGCAGATGTAATGTGATCATACCCAGCGTAATTACGAACAAAATTTGCAATCAATTCTGAGGACTCTCTCAACGGCTGACCAGACTCTTTACAATTTATATTAGAGATACATACGATTTAGACATCTTTTAGAAGTGAGCTAGTTTAATATGAAATATTATTCTGAAAATTCATTTCTGAATCTTTTTTTACCCACTACAAACTACTTCAAATTAAAGAAGGAAAAATTGTTGCAGTTGCCAAAGTTCCCGGGTTCGTTTCCCGGCGTGGGTGTGACAACAGCAACAATTTTTCCTTCATTAATTTGAAGTAGTTTGTAATGGGTAAAAAAAATTCAGAAATGAATTTTAAGAATAATATTCCATATTATATTAGAGATTAAAGGAAAACAAATATTTTTGTTCTTAAAAGACAAAAACAAATGGAGGTATAGTTAGTGACCTAATTCGATTATTCGCAGTTGAATGTCGAAACAGTTACGTTTTTAGGAACGAAATCACTTTGTCGATTATTTATTGGTAAAAATGGGGATTTATGAGCCCCTAAGTGAGTCTGCCGGACTATATTTTATTACAGTTGACGTTGTGTACGAGCCGCAGCATACATTTTATTCAAACAAACGAAATCGAGCAACCGTCGGGGCCGATTAATAAAATTTCTGTCGATTGAGAAAAGTTTCTACCATAAACCCGAAGGCGGGCTTCGAATGGACATGATTTATGAGCTTTTGCTGCCCGTGTCTGATACGTTGTGGTTATGATAAATGAATGTCGACGGATAATGGTCGAGGGGGCAGGTGGCGATGTCCCTCTACCCCACCTTATAGCGAACCTTACATCTTATGAGCACATGTCATAAATTGTTTCAAAATTGCAAGCCACTTCATTACACCGATGAAAAAATTATTTGGATGTTATAGTCCGTCCACTTAGAGAATGGTACAGCGTGAGGGATGAATATTGGTCGTGAGTTGATCCCCGGAATATGGCCGATCGTTTACAGTCAGATGTTTCCGAATAAGGCTGGCCGGACCATAACACAATCCGCACTTATCGATTTTCCATTGTGTACCTTTCTCTAAGTGAACGGAATATTTTTTAACACTGCTCTCAGACACTAAAACATACGTAAGTGACATTTTTAAGAAACTCTTTATTCACCCCCTGCCCTAATTGATAATTTTCGTAAGAGCCGAAAGCCACATGTTACTGATATACAGTTTTATAACTAGAAACAGGGGGTGGGTGTAATACCAGTATTTTTATTCATTTATGATGTGCGTGCTACAATAAATTTTTTATATTCTTTTGTCGATAGGTATAATAAAAGAAAATTTACATGGGCGTGCCAGATGT